CGTATATTTACGACGTTCATGTCTCAAATCATCTGATTGAATTTCAGACCGAATCCTATCCAATGGATAACAAATTGACCAGGCGCAAAAGCCGCCCATTGCTCCACTAAACAAAATATCCATACGTAAATATTTATCTTTGTTCGTATGATAAAAGAATCGAGCATGTGTATAGTAAAGATGATTTTTCATATATTCATAGCCACCAAAATAAAACATCGACGTAGGTATTGAACAAATGAGATTCGCAAAGAATCCTTTATAAAAACCACGTAAACCGCCATTACATTTATAAATATATTTACAACAATCTTTTACATGAAAATCGAATACATGTGTATGACGACGATACAAATGTCCTTCAATCTGTCCATTAATAAGGCCAATAGGCGTTTCAATGAACGATGATCCGACACCAGTAAGAGCACCGGCTAGAAAATATTTTTCAATTGTACGTTCATTATCATTCCGGTAGTTATTGAGATGTCGACTCATTTGTCCATAAAATAAATACTGTATCGACATAACAAATGCTGGACTGATCAACGGTAAGCTTAAATTACTTCGGTAGAATCCATCAATTAAACCTTGCTTTTTGTAAATAGATCGAATAGATCGTAAGAGATTTTGATTAAATCCAAGTGAATTATTTGGTAGATGGATAAACAATGTTTCCAATGGATGTGAAACTATCGCAGCTGTTACACCACATCCACATCCAGCAATTATATCTTTCATTATAGGACTCGAAAATAAAGACATATTTCGCATTCGTAGATTTATCATGCATTTCAGAATGCAAAATTTGGATGCACTACAATATATAATTAATCAACCATGACCGCATTGTGATAGTCATTCTTTTTTGAAATGTGCACGTAAATAATGAATCAATAATGATGTCATAGTATGAGCACGTGTTTACTATCAGATGATAAACATAGGGTGTGGGTATGGTTGAAGAAAAGACTCAAACTTCACACTCTGTTCCACAACAAATGAATGTAAGCAAGTAAAAAAAAGTCAATTTCAATGACATTCATTTCGCGAACAAAATGGCCGTCAAGAAAAAAAAACATAATGAATAGATAGAAACGATCAATAATTCTCACAAACGAAATCGAAAGTTACACGCATTAGTCGCTGTATGACAAGATCCGTTTACAAAAACATTGTTGAATGGAAAGACTGCTTTTTCGATTCGTAGTATTTATTATTTTTATATTCTAAATTTAATTCGTATAGAATTGAATAAAATAAAGACTTTCTAATAGAATATTCTTTGTCCTTGTTTAATCCATCTTTCATTAAAACGAACATATTTAATTGTTTGTTGATCATAAGTAAAAACAAGATGAATATCATTATCATCCCTCCCAGTCCAAAAACTTTGTAATATTGCTGGATAAGAATATTCGCCGACATATGTACTATTACCATCATCATGGATTTGGATATTTCGTTGATAAGGCCATGTCATTCCATTGTCGTCTGACAGAGCTACTGTTAGCGGTGATCGTGGTAGAGAAGTTCCATTAAGATTATTAAAAACCATAATAACAGCACCTGTTTTTAATGTATTTGCATGAATTCCAGCATTATTATTTGGCAAGATTGTTCGTTTTGGTACTGTCCAAGTAATACCATCATCATTACTATCGGAATAATAGATAGATTCGGCATTTTCATCACGAAAAAATGATCGTAATACTTTTGAATTATATAAACGAATAATAGAAGGTTGAATGAGATTTTCACTATTTGTCATATTAATACGTGTCCATGTTGAAGTATCGGATATTGATCGAAGTATGAATGAATAATCATATGTTGGTGAAGAATTATAACAAGGATATATAAGACCTTGATTATCTAATGTAGGAATAATACGATTTCGATCAAATGCACCTGGTAATGAATAAAATGAACTGCTTTTAGACCATGTAGCACCTAAAAAATAGAGTAAATAGATTAATATGTTTTTAAAACAAACCTTTACCTTTGTCTTGACTTTGTAAATGCCATAGTTCAGATGTACTTTCTGGACCATTACCCAATTGTGAAGAATGATATAAATGTAAGATTTGTGTACGATTATTCCAAAACAGAACAGGATTTTGATTTGAATAATTGGTGCGTTCACTGACAATGACACCAGGTGTAAATTGTTCTGATCCAACAGCTAAAAGTGATACGGCAATCGAACAATTAGGCCTTCCTTCACCGCCCGTAAACCATGCAACAGCCAATGTACCACTTGGTGTCAATTGCTCAATGAATGCTGCATGATTACCATCTTTTGGTGGTGTAAGAAAAGCATATGAACTACCATCTCCTGATGGACGAATTATTCCATCAAATGGTATCGAATTGGTACAAGTAGTCAAACGAATGATTAGAAAAAACAATATGATATGCATAATTGTCTTTTTTTCTGTTCTTTCTCAAACTAGTTTGCCTGTAATAACGATGACATTAGAGAATAAGCAGCAGCATTCGTAAAGCACAGCTGTGAAAATTCTCATATCTATTACTGTTCAGATAAAAAGCAAGACTGTTGACTAACAGATGGTTGGTTTTCACATCGATGTATCATAACTATCAAAATTAACATCTCAGATAGTCTTCAAAAAAAGAACAACAGAGCACAGTTATCACTTGCTTATCCTTTGTTCTTTTCTAAACAAGATTTTGTTTCAAGCTCTTAAGAAAGAAAAATTAGAAGTAATTCAGTTCATCTTTCAGCAGTTTATTTAATATATGAACATTCATGGTAATGAGTATGGGAGGAAAAGAACATCTACATCCACACCCACACTTGTGAAACTTGTATTAGTACACATAATATTGCCAAAAGACAATCGACACTGCCCAAAATATGAAAAATCCTAAATTCAAAGTCGAGCCCAGTGGCTCGACGTTTTCACTTGGTTCGCACAGCTCCAAAGAGACATAAGCTCTATCTGTCCAGCGCTCTCGACTTAAAGCTCGGAATAACAGTGTTTGATCCAGTCAGCATGGACCTCCATTTAGCTCATACACTAAAACCGAGACCATAAATCATGGATAAAATAAGATTAGTTGCAACAAACAGTTAAAGCAGCAATATGTAATTAGGTCTTCAAAAAACGATTCTCCTTTTGCGTCAGTTCATCTGTCATCCGTATAGTCTAGAAACACGTATTAGCTTAGTCTTTAAAATTTTGATATCATACTAACCTTATACGAACTGGTTGTTACGAGTTGCCAAGACATGTACTATTTTTTTCTAACAGGTAAAATCTTTCGTTCTATTCTGTCGACAGTTGTCACAATATAAGATGAATATAGACTCACTTTTTTTGGTTCTTTCTTGACAATGCACAACAGAGATTCTACCGAGAATATGATGTGATGTGAGCAAATCGCAATACCCACAACACTTCTTTCAATACTTAAATATGACTACCCATAAATTTTCGTTCTTGAGCATTTCTCCGAAAAGAGAATGTTTCGTTCGTTTGATTGCATAAAACAAAGCATCGCTGCTTTAAGATTTTTTATAAAGTTTATGCAACGCTCAAACCAAGTGAATGGCAAAACCAAGACGGCTTTACCTGTGATAAAACTTACAGTATAAGAAAAGAGACATGTGCCGATGCGCAGAAGACATGAAACCAATGCTAGACCAATAATTGATGCAGAAATATTATCAATATGAAACAGGCTAGATGAGTTAGTTTGCATTGATCATGTTAGCCTGAAGTCTCAACTTTTGATGCCTAGAAGAAGCGATCATCTTCAATATTTTTGACTGTGTACAAATATCGACAAGGCATCGCGG